ATATATATATATATATATATATACATGTATGTATATAATTTGAATGCTATATTAATTAATTGATATAGGGAAAATTTTAATTCAAAAAAATTTAAAATTTCAAACATTTTTGGCAAGTATATATAGACAAGTGCATGTTAATTAACTACTTACCTGATTCTAAGATAGCTCTTTGGAACTTGAGGTAAATACGGTTCTTTTGTTCTGCATTACATCCAAGACTAATTGGTAAATCAAACACAAATTACAACTCAACACATAATTAATTAATATTTATAATATAAAGAAAATTATACTAACTAACTAACTATATGTATATATACATATATAGGTAATTAATGAACTAGGGTTTGAATGGGTGAAATAATATTTAACTTACTGGTTTTGAGATGCTTGAAGCATAAACCAGACTCCCGAATGAGGTCTTGGGGGTGGATCCACCACTCTCATATCCATACGCGCTGCAGTTACATCTAAGCTACCACTCAGCTGATGATACGAGCCTGAGCCTGAACCTGAACCTGAACCTGGCCATGGCGCTTGCTCTAATGAACCTGATGAAGACAGTACTGTTGTTGAACAAGTCGTCGTCATACTTAGCGGGTAATTAGGCCTAAGTGGCAGATAATCGTATTGGTGAGTAAAAGTCATGGCCGTCGGCACTGAATCACCAGCAGCCCGGTACTGTGGTTGCAAAAACAAGGCTGTAGGTGGAGCTGCTGTTGTGAGGAAAGGACCTCCATAATCTGGAACTTGAAAATTCATCAGCTGCGGAGGTGGAGGTGGAGGTGGAGGTGGAGGTGGAGGAGGAGGCACTGTTAATGTGAACGGCCGCATCATCAGTTGTTGTGATGAGGAACTCTCACCACCACCGCTGCTACTACCGCTGCCACCAGGTAACAGATCGAGCTCGACTAATCTTGGACCAAATGATATTTGGTCGCCGGGTCTGGGCATGTGGCCACTTCCTAAACTCAATCGAAGCCAGCCTCCATCGTCGTCTTTGTTCATCTCTTGATGAATATCCGCCTTGGAGCTTGACCCTTGTGCTTCTAATTCATTGTTATTACTAATCTCGGTTCTCGATTCATCCTCAGCCATTAGATCGGACGATCCTCCGCCTAAGCTGATAAAACAGTCGTCATGTTCACCTTCCAAATAACGGCGGCCACCACCGCAAGCCACAGCATAACCAGCAGCAGCGAAAGTTTCTTTCTTTCTGAGGTTTTGCTGATGTGCAGGAAACATGGTCATATTGAAAAACTCAAAAAGCCAACCCCGTAGAATATAAGAATAGCATTAATGACCTGCAGCTTGTGGATGGCAAAGAAATCCATAGGAAGAAGTGGAAATCTGTGAGTGTTTAGATAGCAAGAGGAGACGATGATATTGGGGGAGGAAGATTAAACATAGGAGCATATTTGGAAGATACCCATTGACCAAGAAGAAAGATTTGGATGAGTATGGTTCGCGCATATATATATATATATATCAAGAGAAGGGAAAAGAGAAAGAGAAACAGAAAGAGAAAGAGAAAGAGAAGAGGGGACAAGAATAAGAGTTGAGCAAAATCTCAGTACGTTGCTTCCATTTGTTCTCTTCTTGGTTTGGAAGTTTGCGAGCCTGTTTTTATTTTCATCCAAGCTTTTTCTTTTTCTTTTTTCCTATTTCCTATTTCCTATTTCCTATTGTTGTTGTTGTTGGTGGTGGTGGGAAGAGAAGAAGATGGAGAGAGAAACTTTATTAATTAACTAATTAATCAGGTTTTCTTTTTGTTTCTTGATTTAATTAATTAATTAATTAAATATTGAGGATATAACTATTCTACCCTTTTTAATTTGGTCCCAGCCACGTAAATTGATTTTCTTTTTCTCTTTTTCCCGTTGCAATCATTTTACACCATTTTCTTTTATGTTTCTTTCCTTATTTCTTAATTACTTCATTACTCCTAATTAATCCTAAATAAAAGAAACATTAAGTATTCCTAAAAATATAAAAATAAGCCTTCATTCTTTGACTTTGGAGTTGGATATTATATATGTTGACATATATAATAGAAAAAGAGTAAATTACAACAATCATCATATTACATTATTTTGGTTTTCCTTACTCCATTTTTAAAATTATACCCAACACTCTGTAACTAATCTGTATTTTAAGATGGATTTTGTATGTTTCTAGTCCCGACATCCGTTAACTTTCTTTCATTATGTGTCTAACAAGCTAGTATGTTGTTCATCCTATCAATGCTTAAATGGTAACACTCTTTATATTCTCACACGGTTAGTACATATTATATATAATAGGTACATTAATTCTTGTATGAACAACACTAACACTAAAATAGACATTAATAGTTGACATATATATATGCATCCAACACTATTTATGAAGTCCTTAAAACCTACCAGCGTCACATTGTGGTCTAGAGGACTTGGTGGAATCAAAATTGGTTGTAATAATGTCGCCACCAATTCCAATACAAACTGACAAAATATAATGTTCATAAAATTTGAAGCGGTTTTGCATGTCCCTAGCGTAAGAAGACCAATGCCCTGATTCAAAACAATGCCAAGGATCGAGTTTGACAGATACTCCTGACGCATTGATGGAACAAGCTTGTTGAAGAAAGTTCTTCTTACTCTCCCCAAACAACTAGGTCTACGTACGATGGTAATATCTCACATATCAATAATAGTACACTATTTACCCCCCCTAAACCCAGCCGGAGAGAAACTGTCAAAATTGTTGTTGTTTGTGATCTGTCTTGTGGTCCCTTGGATGCTTTGGAGGATTCAGAATGAGAAAGTTTTCGATAGCAAGAGACAATCTACCCTTGAAGCTGCAAATAGCGTTCAATTGTTTTTCCTTTTCTGTGAGTTAAAAAGAAGAGTCAAGTCAGGGAAGGAAATTAGGTGGGAAAATTGGAGTTGTAATCCTCTTTCATGTTTTTCGAACAATTTGTAATATAGCATCTCGCCAGGCATCGATTTCATAAATTCCCTCCCTTGTTAAAAGAAGTACACTATTTACCTCGTGCCAACATAACGCTCCCTCACGTGATAAGGTCCGTCCAATCAGACATTGACACGTGGACATAACTGGTATTAATGCAACATCGATCTAAAATACTAGCTTGAGTCTTCATTTGAAGAGCCTGAGCATGTCAACCATGTAAGAGCTAGATCAAAAACAAAAACCTAAATTAAAACCCCTCATTCGTTGTCATCTACACATACATCGTCAACCCCCCTTCATGCTCTGGATGCTCGAGTTCCATCCATAGTGACTAAGAAACTCGCTGGTGGTTGGGTGTCCCAAGTCTCCATTTGCGTTGCAAAGTCCACCACAACCAAATCATTCTCTCCTACCCTCTCTTCAAAATACTTTTGGTTGTTCGATTTTTTTTATTAACCTGGATATCCAACCCGTTATGCGAACTAACTAATCCCAGGGCGACCACCTGCTTTGCAGATAGCCCGGAGTCACCGCATTTGAATCTTCGTGGCCACAAAGAGATTTTTATTCATTCTTGGATTTGAACCTGAGACCTCTCGATACTTTTGGTCTTTGGGGATTTTGGTTGTTTGATTTTCCTGATCACAACCTCAAAGATATTTCCTTTACCAACAATCTTAACACCTAAATGAATTTTTGTTTATTTCGTTCTAAATCCAAGGCAAGTTCTTGGATTTGCATGTTGTTGATTCAAATTGAGTTGGGTGCTTGTTTGTTGAGTTCCTCCAACACTTGTGGCTATTAGATCTTGAATCAAGACTTATAGCGACATGGTTGAAATTAACAGAGATGGGCACATTGGTTGAATTCTTATGATCCCAGTCTCTCTTCTTGTTCAAATAGATTGATGAATATGAATTGCTAATAAAAGTGGCCTACTATACATGCATGTATCAAATATAGGCTTGAAATTGCAAAATACAATGTAGGAGTAGTATACATAAGAGTTTTAAAAATCATGAGTGCCTATTCAACATATATTATAAGTTTTAAGTTAACAGTAATTAAAGGGTATCTGTGGATGTTAGTTTGAGTAAGATACATATATATAATGATGTATTAATTTGTAAGAACAAAAAAGTTGTTTGGATGAATTAATTAGAGAGGCAGCCACAGCCAGAGTGTGTGTGTATATATGGTAATGGTTGATAGATATATAATTAAGTGGTTCAAAATTGATTATTAATTATAAAAAGCGAGCTGAGCAGGTCTTTTTATGGAAAGGTGCTTTTTAGCCCTAATGGAAGTGGGGTTCTGTAGCCTCTTGCACCGGGAATGCCCATATATATATATATATATATATTATATATTCATGAATCCATCTTTGATGGAGATTAATTCAGTTTAATGATTTGATGCAATTCGTTCGTGTGTATGTTAATTTTTACTTGAAACTATATATACAACCATTTTCATTTATATCTTATGTATTAATTATTACATGCAAAAAAGTATCAACAGATTATATATTTTTCCTTGCATCTACTTACTTAATTAATTAAGTTATATATGATATGTGATTGATAGCAAATCAAAATTAAGCTTTTGTGTATATATCTTTCTTGGAAATAACATTTTGCTTAATTAATTATTTGAATTTTAGTTACTTAATTACTAATCTATAGCTTTAATTACTGGCCATCACTAAACTAATTAAGTAATGAATATGTAATATGCTGTTGGCTTTGGATCCATTAATTAATTATATAATATAATGTTTGATTAAATTAAAATTGAATTGGCATTATATATATATATATGCATGCGAATTCGAAAGAAAAGAAAAAAAAGTGAAAAATGAATCATCCATCGTCGTCTTACAACTAAAGGTGGTGGTAACTGGTAAATAGTAATAATTAAAGGAGAGGAGATTGAAGGAAGGGTGGTGCTGAAATTGTTGGCAGGAAATGATGATATTACCAGTCTGTCTTGTATATTTTTATATCAACATGGCCTGGATATATATAATTACTAAATTACGGTTAATTAATTATTATTATGATTATGATTATGATTAATTAAATGGTGGTATGGCAGCACATCGTGGAGGTTGTTCTTTGAATACAATGCTAACCGTATATAATTCAGTCATTCATTCATTAATTAATAGATTTAAAGAAGGAATGATATGATGGTGTTTCCCTCAACTCCAAACCCACAACCCAACCGCATTTTTCTAATATTCATTTCTAACTAAACATGTCATTTCAATGTTTTCCTCTATTTATTTTGTTTATCTCGATCTTATATTATAAATATATGTAGTTTTAAGAGCATATATATTTATCACTTTTATAAAACAAAAACAAAAACAAAAACAAAAAAGGTGGTGTATTCTTGAAAGATTTACGGTTTTTAAAAGATACACTTAAAGTTAAAAATGGTGGACTCAAGATTTTTTTGAGTGGATCACCTTCAAGGCGAATTAAAAGTCCGTAAAGTCACGGGTTTGATCTGAGGAAAAGTCCATTATGCCGATTTCAGGAATAGTATATTTTTTTTCCGAATTGAATCGACTTTTACCTTTGAGTAAAACACAAGATTACGTTTTACGGCTAACGTGGTTTTAACTGAATTTCATCGCTAGCTACAGGGAACTTATTTGGTTTTATGGTTGATTTCATAAAATTTTCCAACTTTTAGTATTTGATATTGATTGTCCTATGTTTTTTCTACGTTTTCCCTCGGTGTTAACGTGAGCAAAGGCAGCGAATTGGACCCCGAGAATGATGAAAAGTTTCAAAATGTAATTGGAAAAAGAAATTGATATCCTTTGGCAGTCGGATGATAGTGGTAAAATCATTGTTGGGAAGCTTATCTCTATGATATTTCTCTTTGTTTCACCCTTAGCTAGTGTTTTGAGATATCTAGAGAGGGTGAGGAATAACTTCTTTTGGCGGAAGGGGATGGGACCGGTTCTAAATTGGCGTGGGTTAATCTTCTCAAAGATTTCGAGAGGCAGTCCCAAGGCTCAAAACTTGAGCCTTCTCAACAAATGGTGTTGGAGGTTTTTTTTTGTAGAAGAACACTCTTTCTCGGTTCGAGTTCTTTTTTGAACGTCGGAGATTTTATCTAAAAAAAAACCTCGCAAGAAACTAGGAAAAAAAATATTACATGTAAGAATTAGTATAGTAAGAAGATGGTTTTGTAACCAACCAACCCAATTAATGTTAGACTTACTACTCCTATTTGTAACCCAGAAGAACGAATGTTATCCCATAACACCGCTTTCTTAG